TTTTTCATTACACCATTTAATGTATCATTATTTTGACATTTTTATTTCCCCAACAAACCGTTTGACCAATGTATCTAATTGAATATTGTTATTTTGTAAAAAAACGATATCCATGATACACTTTTCTTATATTATTTCTTGTTACAGATATTAAAAGTATTAGAACACATCGCGCAATACAACTCGTCAAATTAAAGCACCTCGCATCTTTAGAAAATATGGTGAACGAGATGCAAGTTAATTTGATCGAGTTGTAGTCACTCGCTTTGCTCGTTCGGATTGTGCTGCTTTTTCATATACTAACCTAAACTAAACCTACAGGAAGGGGTCGTACCGTCTAGGCAATGCAAACAAGTTCGGTTCTGGCACTCGCCGGCCGCTGCCGCGACACGTTCGCTACGCTCGCTCGGCTCGTGCAGCTTTTTCATATACTAACCTAACCTAAACCCACACTATTGTTTTTAAATTACATTTTAGATGAAAGCAAAAACACAGCGCAATGACGACGACGTATGACGAAAATTACGGAAGTGCACTTGCTGTGCACCAGCAAAGTACAGTCCAGAATTTTGGAGCTATATGGTAAAATTGTATGGCGGTATAATTTAATCTAAGAATAATAATTTTGCGAAAAAAAAAAAAAGAATTTTCAGCAATCTAAATTATATGGAACAGACAGTATAACAAACATGATTAGACCAAACCAACTTCTGCCCATAGAATACTTATGTGTAATAATTATTCTAATTAATAGGTTTTCGGACAAACGATACTTCTGCTGTAAGACATTTCTGTGTTGCAAATTTATACCAAAACTGTCATCGCACTAATGAAAAAAGTCGAAACGTTTTCGGAGTAATGAAATTCGGAAAAAAGGAGTTCGAGGTTTGTGATAGGTTACCACCTTTATCTTTTCTGCTTTTTACTTTTTCTAAGGGAGTATTTTGACGACCTCCATGCTCGAGTGACTCGCACACCGGTTTTCATGGTGTCGCCATCTCTGAGGTCGGGGTTCGATCTCCGGCCGCGTCAATGTTGAAAGAACTAACTTTTCAATATTGTCTGGGGTGTGGGTGTTTGTGATCCCCTCGTTGTTCCCGATTTCCCTAACACAAGTGCTTTAGTTGCTTACTTTAGAATCAGAGCAATGCGTGTGATCTTGTCATACATGATATTTATTGTCCTAATAAAAAATCATCGTTCCGTTGTGCTTAAGTAAGCACTATACTAGACGAAAACCATCATCGTCATCATAGTGTTGTGCAAAACTAAACTAATCGTCATTAGGATGCTGACTGCCCTGAACACAGTGTGAGTAATGTTGTGCAGTAATTATGGTAATTTATATTGCTGCATACTTTCTTATACCACTATAACGCAAGAGCGTTCGTCTTCAAATTTTCTTTACATTTATATGTAAAATACAATCTTTATGCATTCGTTACGTCTTATTAATAATCATACCTATGTGCCAGCCAACCACACCAACTGCCTGATCTCAAACTAGGAAATCCCCTGTACTATGAGCACCAGAGCTATGCAATTCTGAGGGCCTTCCCAGAACACCCAGACCAGAATCATTTTAGAAAATCCTTCGATTTAGAAATTTCATTTACCGGGATTCGAACCCGAGACCTCCGCATCCGGCTCCCGCTCGTGTTAACCGTCGGGCCACCGAGGTCGTTAACTGCGTCTTATACTTCTTTAAACTATGTCACGTCCTTGGCTTGACTGGTGATTTTTTTACTCTATATTATTGAAACTCATATCAGTCTGCGAGTAAATATACCTCATAGGGTACTGAATGAACACGTCCTTGATACGTGTTCATTCAGTGCAAAAAAAATAAACCTCCCTAAAATTCCACCATAAGATACCGCTCATTGAGCCATACGTGCCTCAATGAGCGGTAGGTATGTTTCCCTGCTAGCGTATTACAATAAGCAAGTAATTTTACATTCGTAGCAAGACACAAAACAATAACCACAGCCGCGTGACCTGACTTCGCTCGCTTTCCAAACTTTCGTGGTATCCCTATTCCGAAGAATAAAACGCGCTTTCTTAATAATAATATTGAAGACAACGCTGTTGTATTAAAAAAACGATTGTCACTGCCAAAAGACATCAACGACACAGTCTCAAATATTCTCTTCAACAGAAACAGGAGTCAAATTTAAGTGCAAAGACGATCAAATGTCATTAAAATGTAACCAACCGGTTTATTGATGAGTAATTCGTAAAAATCCGTTTAAAGTCCATTGCTGGAACCTTTCTCTACACGTAATAGGACATGTATAAATTGTTGCAGACAAGTATGTAGATACAGTTTTTACATTATAAATAAATCACAGTACTCGGATTTATCACTATTTGACCCTTTTCATGACGTTTGGGATTCAGGGTCATTTTGTCGAATAGATTTGGAATGATTGAAAAATAACTGTAAAAAACTCGTGTTAGTCGTATAGTCTGGACGCCCTTTTTTAAACGTTACCGACGCACGCCAGACGCCCGACATGCGACACGCTACACATTAACATATATCTAGAATCTATCGAAAACAGTTACAGTTCATTTTCACACTCAAAGTTATGATCTTATGTGGAAACGAGACGTGGCCTTTTTTCTTTTTTCTTTTCACTCATCTCTCCTTGACTCTGTAAAATAGTGACAAAGTAGAATGTAATCGACATTATTACAAATTTTCAAATTTCAAAGTAAAATATTTCTAGAAATTTTACAAAGCGAATTTGTACCTACAGTTTTTAATCATAGTTTTTTTTATTTATTTATTTTTTATACGCAGGTACCTACTACTACTGTTCATTCCTAATTAAACTTCAAATTAAAAGTATTTAGAAATTGAATATTTTATGTGACGCGGGTACCGTTGTGACAATATGACTATACTTACCGTAAGTTTAAGTTTTCTACATTTTAGTGATCATTTTATCGGAGCTACTCGGGACGCGTCATTTTATAATACTACGCATAAAATGTAGCGAATGTCACCAAAAAGGTAAATTGAGAAAAACGACTCAAGCTAAGAGTAAGCTAAGGTAAGCGTCTCCTCTTACCTTTTTATCTACATGTGTAACTTTAGATGGCAATTATTTAAGGCTAAATTGTTGCGCTAATTTAACGTAGATAAATAAAGATCTTTATTAATATTGGTATTATTATTTTTTAGCGAAATTGAGTTATTAACACATCTGGGATCCGGGAAACGAGGTCTACATCCCCCTACAAACAATTTTTTTACATCTTATTTAGTTTCAATTTTACTGTTAAACAAAATCGGCGTAATCGATTTTCTTTGGGTGCCAATGTCTCGAAACTCACCGAAACGCAAATGCGTTAGTGGTGACTGAGGAGGGCAGTGTTTTACCCCCAAAACCAACTGCCACATTCATTTATTTACAACGCTACTCGGCTGTGATTTCTATGTTTGTACAAGCCTAACCTACCTGCTTATGTCATATAGATTCCGAGAAAATCAGCAACTGAAGAACGGGCAGACGGGAAGTTAGGCACCGAAAGTGTTTGGAACGGGGCCTTTCAAATTGCTAGTCCTTTGTTAATTTTAAAATAGTTCGAAAAATTGTATATTAGAAAAATTTCAAATTGATCCCCGCCAGCCGTCCACTGTTTATACGTTCCACGGAGAGAGGACTTAGACCGTAGTCCACCACACTGGCTCAGTTTCCAAACATTCACAATCGTACAACTTAGAAATTAATATTATAGCTACGCTTGCCTCTACAGACCCCACAACTGAGGAATAGCCGCTCTTCGTAAATTTCGGAAACTTATCAGAGGAGACAGTGCAACTCCTAATAAGAGTTATTAGGTAGAAAACGATTATGTTTTGAGAAGATTTTTATAACTGACCTCTCCACATCAAAGTGTGCAGAAAGATCTTATTCACGCGCGACCATTATAAGTACGTAAGTAAGCGAGTACTTTATAATAAAGACAGTGCGAGAGAATCGCGAGACTTTTCACAGGTTAAAAAGAAGCGAAAATTTATTACACAAAATGGTCTTTACCAGATGATATATGATATTTACTTTGTTAATTTCATACACAACGTTATTTTTCAAGCATTATTTAGAATAATATATTAAATATGACTTGTACCAATGTTTCTTTTCAAGAAATAAGGGTAAAATGGTTCCAATATAAATTATAGTCTAAATTTTGTTGATGACTTGTTTTTGACTTAACATTTATAGTTATACCGCTACAACTTTATATCTAGACAATCACTACAAGTTACGGTCGCTTTTAAAATCATCTGCAAATTACTACTCACCTACTTGAAGTTGTGGTGAACTCTGATACATCTCTTTTTCGTCAGGGTGTTCAGAAATGGAATCCTTTTGTACACAAATAAAATATCACCAGAAGTTTTATAACAACGCCGCAACATTAAAATAAACAATGGCTAACGACATAACCGTATTACTTTAATCACAAATTTAATTTTATTTACTGCGACAGATCTAAAACTAGAATGATTTTAGAGACTAATTACCTACAGCATTACTAAAAAAGTGCAAAGAAGTTATAAATTCTGATAAAATATTAAATTTTGAAGCTAACATACGTAGTAAATAGAGTTTGAAATTTCATGTTTACAACTCCGTTCATTGATTATGTCCTAATATTATGTCGCTCACTCATTGAAGACTTTTAAGGGTACTTCTCGTAACCATAATATTCAAATAGGTACTATAAAGACACTTTTCTTTGGTTCTAGAATAAAGCGACACGGTAGCGCCATCTGTTAGCTAGCGGCAGCGGCAGCTGCGGTATCAGCGCCACCTCGCGCTCCCGTCGCACAGCGGCCTTGGCCGCAGCGCCACCTAGCGGCCCCACGGCTCTCCACCGCGCCGGACGCGCCACGTCCGTCACCATCCGTCAGTCCTCGGTTCACGCGGGTGAGATATGCACGCCAACACGTTACCAAACCCTACGGTAAGTTTCACCTCACGGTATTGCACCGGAATATTTTGACATACATTATTGACATATCCACCAATTCTACTTGAACTTCGCTTTGTGTTTACTTACATGGATTAATTATTACTTCGAAGCTTCTCATCGCGTTGTACACGTGATGATGTGTTTTTTATAGTAACATTTTACCACCCACGTTTTGTAATTCAAAGTCTACCTATTTGAAAACAGTCTACTTTCATTTTACTACACATACAAGTGTCCCACAGCTGTGCGACACGGAGGGAAAGTATTTAAAATACTGTAAATAGGATGGATGGATGTTTCATGCAGATAATATTGGTAGTTCAGGGTAAGTAATACTGCATTAAAAATATTTTTTAAATTCGCCTGCCTCGTCCTGCAGGCCTATAAGGCCTGTAAGTGTCAATAATATTTTATGCGGTAAAGTAAAACTTCAAACCGATCAGTAGGTACTCGTATTAGGAATAGTAATAATGTTATTAAAATTATAGGTAATAGGTAATAGGTTTGAACAAGAATTGTCACATTGTAATTGTGTAAATAAATCACAAACGTAGATTGATTAATAAGTAATGGTAATACTGTGTACAAAACGAAAAAGACAAAAATAAACAAAAAGTATTAAGTGCATTGTCGTCATTTGGCTTAAATCGATATTTTGTTATTTTTCGCTTTTTATTGTACTGACTTTTTGTAGTTTTTGAAGATGGTTGGTTTTTTTAGTTTGATTTTGAATAAATAATAATAAAACATTTTTATTTTCTCTCACATCATCATCATAGAGCATAAAGTAGAATATAGAATATTCGATTTTGTGACAGACAGGAACCTAAACTAAGATAGAGGAGGAGATTAAACCTGTGTGTTAGGTGCTGCTCCCCATCTTGATTGTACGGTTCATTTACTCTACTTCAAGTGTAGTTAAATTACATTACAATAAATCACTTCTTATTCATATTGTTAGTTGACTTATGTTGTGTTAGTTAGTTTTTAATAAATAAATTACTTTTGTCATGTAAAATCACCGTAGGTAGAGTTAAAAAACAGGGATATTTTGGCGTCAGGTGAATACAAATAGTCTTCATGTTGTCAATTAACAGACTGTTTAAGATGTTTTGTAATACTAACAAATGGATCCTAGCTGTCTGAATAAAGAACTTATATTATTATTATTATTATTATTATTAACACTCAATTTACAGTGCGGTTGAATTGTTAAAACATTTTTCTTATATAGTTTTAGTTATTTTTAAGTTTCCTTATTGAGAGACGCTGTTCAGGAAGTGAATAAAGACGAGGGGCATCGTGAAGTTTTCTAATTTATCGACATTCACAGACATAACACTACCATATTTTTATAATATCCATAGTATGTACGACCTGAAAATAAATTAAAACAGTATTTACTTTATACTTACAAAAATTTTTTTTGAAAATAGGTTCCTAACTTATTATTTTATTATTATTATACGGAACATAAATTTTTAAAAACGGTGACGTTTGGTCATATGGTCATATAGTAGATATCATACAATTAAGATTTAGGAAGTTAAGAAACCCAAAGCAAATATAATGGCCGCGCCACTGTGGTCGCAAGGATACGTATGTATTAATATGCCACCTTTTTGTTTTGTAATGGCGCATTTACACCGAGTCATCTGTCGCCTTCCCCACAAAATTCCCACGGTTAGGGGAATTCCCTATCCCGACGTTCGATATAACCTGAATCAGCATAAAAATCGGATCTTTAAACTTTGAATCAACTTATATACATCGGTCATTACAGCAGCACGTTTACGTAACTACTGAATGACCAATAATGTCGACAATCGCGATTTATAAACGTTTACACGTGACTTTATTACGACCAATTCTACAAACCCAACAGAAAATGTAAAACGTTTACTATGCGTTTACTTGACAATTATGCAACATTAAGTTGTTAGTTATGGCGGGCTTGCTAAACATAATTGGTACCTATTCGAAAGCCAAGGATGAAGGCTTTCAAGCGAGGGAGTCGTTGGGGTTGTCGAAGTAGCTCGAGAGTTAGGAAAGTAGTTGGACGACGTCTCACACGATACTGTGCGGCCAGGGCTACCTCTCCGACCTTTGCTGGTATAGATAGGGATACTTATGCCCGGTGAGGACTTAGTCAGCTGAAGGACAATGTCGAAGATATTGCGCACATATCGGAAGATGTGACCACGGTGCTGCATAGGTTTGTCGTTGGCAGTGGTGACAGGGCATCGTGGGCGATCAAAGGATAGTTGTCCAGGATGGCAGCATCAGACGCCTCGGGATCATCAGAATATTAAAACTAACAAAATTATAAGAACTAGTTAATCGAATATGCGGTTGTCTGTCATATTAGATGGGATAGACAACCACATCAATGACCTGGTCTCAACGAGCACCAAAGCAACAGAATTCACCAGAAACAACTTAGAAAAGTTCATTTTCTAAATTGGTTTCACCGGGAATCGAACCCAGTTTCGGCGTCCCGGCGTCCTCCGTTGGGCCACTGGAGGGCGTCATACTTTTAATTTGGTTTGTGGGGTGGAGCAGGAGAAAGGCGCAAGCGGAGGCGCGACGCGCGGAACGGAGGTGCACATACGACTGGCGACGCGCGACGACATGCCGGAGGTGCTCAAGATGATTCAGGTAAGACCTATTCTGGCTGTGACCTACAGTCATCACATCATGCGGTACACAACTACGCTTCGGAACACGAGGCTCTTGCGACGACAAGCGCAAACATTGAGACCCTGGTATCCCCAAGGACCACCCCTCAATAGTGAGCTTTAATTTTGCTTCTTTTGTGAAACTTTAGCAACTTTAGCCTTCTAAATAGCTCCTTATGATGTCTTAAACTACTTAAACAAAAAATATATTTGGTTCCAGTGAATCCTTAATCATCGACAACGCACTACTTGTGTCTTTGAAAATACAATCATTATAAAGTACTGATACTGAAGAGTCCATAGATAAAACTTTATGTTACCTAGCAGTTATCATTCGCATGAACCGAGTGGAATAAAACGGCGTAGTGTACCTTAGTTCGCTCAGATTGCGCGATTAGATGCGACAATAATAAATATCACGTAATATATTATACACTTGAAGGTTATCAGTCTCCACTACTGACGACCCGCAAAATCAAGCTGTGCCATTGTGCTGACCCAAAAATTGTTAATTCAAAAGTACAAACGTACCTAATTATTTGAAATTTAATAACTTATAATTTTTAGAGATATTAAAACATTGTACGTACTTTTGAATTATACAACCATTGACTTATTTTGTAAGTTAATGTATACAACAGATAATTTGTTAACGATGGGAGTACATATTTGCTGAGAACAGAAAATAATCAGTTACTGGTCGAGTCCGACTCCTGTGTTCTTGCTTTCTGGTCCTACGAAATTAGAATTCGCGCAATTACCATTTGAGTGGCAACTTATATTATTATGTATTAGTCTGTGGAGATTACAAAGTAAAATACTGTTGTTCTACTTCTGTAAGACTCATTAATTTATTTGAAAGTTTATTATATATAAATAAGAAAAATAAAATAAGTTTATTATTTCTCTGCAGACCGATTACAACAGAACGAATCATTAGATTTCAAAAGAATATCGGCAATAGTTTAAATTCCCTCCCCATAAACCGGGAGTTCCAAATATTTCGTGTAGCACGATATTTAATTGCAAGTGCAATACGTGTACATTAGTTGTTTAGTTTATTTTATTATCATATTGTATTGTACGTATGTTGATCCAGGTATATAATGTATGGGTCATGTGGCTTGAAATAAACAAATGAAATAAAATAAAAATTAATTTCATAACGTGTTTACATCGAAAACAGTAACTTTGCACACGGAGACTAAATTAAGGACTGGGCAATAGTAGGCATTCATAAGAGTAGGTCTCGTTTGTATAAGCTATACGCTGTGAAAACTTATAACACTAATTCCAGTTTTATAGAATATAGGAAATGAAACTATTTTTCCGGATTTAAATCGCGTATATTTGTTTTTTCAAACAATCCGACGTTTCGGGCCCTTTACAGGTCCCATGGTCACGGTTGACTGAGGTGGTATCGTCTTCAACCAGTTATGTACTCGTATAATATTATGGTTTGCACTACCCTATTTTTTCACTATACTTACAAAAGTAAGTAATTAAATACCTTAATTTTAATTTTACAAAGAAACATTGCAATTGACTCTACATTACGTTTTACAAATTATTTTATTGAATGAATTTTTATTAAGTTCAATTTATTATTAATAATTAATATAAATTGGAATAAACTAAAACATATTAATTAGTACTGCAGTCTTATGTCTGTTTGGGATTTTTCATTAGAGGAAATACTGGATCCCAAGCTGGTGGCACGGAGAAACCATCTTCCCTGTTGAATTAGGATGTTTTTTAATTTCAATGGCCTCTCGCAGCATCCTGGGTATCTACCCAGGTCCTTACAAAAGAGGCCCGTTATCTAACGGGCCTCTTTTGTAAGGACCTGGGGTTTGCCAAACTTCATTGAATATGTAGGTTTATCCATAACGTGCTCGCAGACTGCAGACTTGCATTTGCATTCTATTATTAATTAATAATAAATTGAACTTAATAAAAATTCATCCAATAAAATGAATTTGTAAAACTTAATGTAGCGTAAATTGGAATGTTTTCTTTGTAAAATAAAAAATAAGGTATCTAATTAATAACTATTATAACTATAGTGAAAAAATAGGGTGGTTTGGATTAATATTAGACATAACTGGTTGATGATCGTACCGCCACAGTCAACCGTGACCATGGGCCCTGTAAAGGGCCCGAAACGTCGGTTTCTTTGAAAAAACAAATATACGCGATTTAAATCCGGAAAAATAGTTTCATTTCCTATGTGTGACAATCGCGAAAACCTAAGAACTCGATATTATTCAAAAATTTTAAAAAAGTATGTGTTGCTGCTATGGTTTAGTTTCACAGCGATAGAATTATAGAATCGAAAAAACTACTTGGAGTATAATAAATAAAGAGTCATGCAGGGCTAAATAGCATGATCAAGATATAGTTCTAGAATTAGACCGCAAACTTATTAAATCTAAAGATGAGGTAGCCCAAGCTTTTGAATAGTTGTTTTCACTACAGAATCATTAAACTCCTCTCTATCTCTTGCTATTGATCTCCTAAAGCAAAATGTTAATGTTTGTGGCAGTGTATTTAATTTTCATCATGTTAATTCACAAGACATCATTAAAACTTTTAAATGCATACATGTTAAAAAATCTCTGGGGCATATCGACTAAAGTTATAGACTCGTAATTTATCTAACTTCCCCACATTTAGCTGATGCATTCAATAGGTGCGTTAACGGAGTTATTTTTCCCGGTTTAGCTTCTCGGATTCCTCTTAGAGAAAAGTCTAAGGAGATTGGTATCATGACTGTGGTATCACAGTACATTTACTCAAATATTTTGTATGCCCGTAAAAATACACATAATTTCAATAAGAAAGAAGATATCCATAATATTAACATTACAACTAAGTCCAAACTCATGGTACCATGATTTCGTTTAACTGTACCCGTTTAAGGTAAACGATTATTGTACGGGGAACAGTATACGTTTTTACAATAATATTCCAGAGCATATATTAAGATTACCATTTCCTAAGTTCAAAACTTACATTAAAAGTATTTTAATTGAAAAGTCATATTACAACATGAGTCTAGATTCCACCCAAATATGATTCAAATGTATTCTATAGCATTTAAGTTTATTTGAAAAGAGCAATCCCTAGAGTTTCTTGCTCGTTCTTCTCAGGGAGGTCAGCGTAGTGAACGAGCAGTAGCTTAAAAATTATGTTTTCAAGTGTAAACAGTTTATTCACTTGACTTCTGCAATAATTACTCTGATAAAATAATTGCAAAAGGCATAATTTAATTATCCCTTTGCTCTTGCAGTACGTTTGGCTGAAGTATGCAGCAAAGTAAAGAGCACTAACCGCGTGCTCGTGAATGACATGCAGCAACAATATCCAGCAACTGAGACAAAATTATATTATTAACGTGTTCCTTTGCTTGGTTTGCGGGGCAGGAGTTAGCGGACTACGAGGGCGTGCCGACTCGGCTGCATGTCCACGGTGAGTCGCTCGCCTGGGGCAGACCTATCGTGGGTGACTTTTTTACAAGGTGACGTTGTTGCAGATTTAGTGCGCGACGGGTTCGAGAGCTCGCCGCCGTGGTTCTTCGTGCTGTTGGCGGTAAGAGATGAACAGCTGCTGGGGCAGGCGCTCTGCAACTACGCTTACTCTAGCTGGACCGGCCGCTCCTTTTACTTGGAGGACCTGTACGTGTACCCGCACGTGCGTCGACTAGGGGTCGCGCGTCGTCTTCTGCAACACCTTTGCGAGGTAGTCCGTCGCTGCCCTAGCAAGGACGATGGTCGGTTAATAAAGTAAGAACTGGCAAGGTATCCAGTAGTTGTTGTTCGCACATAGATGGCGGTGAAGAAGGGAGTGAGCCGCATAGACTGGCACGTGCTGAAGAACAACGCGCCTGCACTGGCGCTGTACGCGCGCACCGGCGCCCGCGACATGTGCCTAACTGAGGGTCGCGTCGCCCTGCGCCTTGACGCACCTCGCATCCAAGCGGTTGCGCAGGGCCATCTTCTGCCGCCTGCGCCCGCGCAAGTTTGATTGTAATTTTTAATGTTGATGAAACGTTTTTTGCAATAACGCATTTGATGTTGTCATTAATTTACCCTTAACATTCCTTTCTCTGATCTAAACAAGTGCGTTACGTCTTCCACCGATTCGATTCAGAAGTTTTTTTTTGTCACATTTGGCAAATCAAAATGTTATAAAATGAAAAATGACTGAAAGTACCTTATTACTTCAATTTCATTCAATAGACATCAGTCGAAATTAAATAATTAATACACATATACAAAAAAAATCTCATTAGTACAAACACAATGCTCAAAATACTTAGAATATTATAAAATTCAATCTTATCACAAAGATAAATTAATTGTAAAAATAATTCAAATAAATATAAAAATTGGTCTTCCTTCAGAGACACTTCTAGAAATTTTGTAAATTGGGGTTTTTTTTGTTTATCAACTCAGATGAAGGCAAGTTTGTTATTTTATATAATTAGATTTTTTTGTAAAGACCGTGTTTTTTAGTTTTAATTAGTCTAATTGACGGTCTTGCTAATTTTTATTTGTTTTTTGATCGTAGCAATTGACAACATTTCGAATTGATAATGGTATAAAAATTAACAACCATTTAGAGATTTGGTTGTCCTGAACACGATTTTTTTTTCAGAATTTATTATTTACTAAATTACGTGATATTTACAAAAGTAGCCAAAAATTAACGGCAAAGGATTTCAAACACTAAATTTTGTTTGCTATATTTTTTCTTTTATTACCTACTTGATTTTCGAACGTGCGTACGTCAACGGCTGACTGTTAAGAGTTGTGACAGTGAGAATGAGACGTTGCTTTTGAAATAATTATTGATTACAAGTTTTCAGTAATTTTCAAAAGTTTCCTCCAGGTTTTCCTGTCATAGTTTACAGCAGCCGAAATGAATGAAGATTTAGGACGACTAAGTTTTAGTACAAAAAAATTATACTGGATTATTGAGTTTCTTGAAAAAAAGTGTTGTGTTTGTTCATTATATACTTTATTAACACTATTTAAAATTAGAAATAACGATACATTCGAAAAAATTGCTGATACTTTTAAAATATCAAAAGTTACATTATTGCGCATATATAACCGAATGTTACCATTCTCCAGGCATTTTTCAATCAATTAATCTTCTGGCCACAAGTAATTGATATAAAAAAAATTACCATCGGTGTTTAGAACAAACGCTGCTTATGCTGAAGTCCAATCAATTATTGACTGTTTTGAAATAGAAATCGAAAAACCTAAGAAGCCAACAGAACAATCGTTGACTTGGTCTTAATATAAAAATTGCAACACGATATATATCTTATAAGTTCAACTCCTGATGCCTTTATAAATTTCGTATCCGAAGGTTTTGATGGTCGCATATCGGACATCAACTTAGTGGCGCATAGTGGGTTTTTAGAAACGGTGCCAGAAAACTGTACTGTCTTAGCCGATAGGGGTTCCAAATATTTAGAATCTCACCTAGGCAAAAAAAAATTAAAAATTTTACGTCTCCCAAGTGTGACCAAAGACTGCAAAATGACAAAAGCAGAAGCTGTAGAAAGCAAAATAATTGCGAGTTTAAGAGTATACAGGATGATTTTTTAGTCATCGTCCAAATTTTTTCCAGCCGCTAGGTATCATTCAAAGGCTCCATTTTCGAAAAAAAATTGATAGGTCTAATTTCAAAATGAAAATATTTATTCCGAAGTATTACTCGAAAAAAATTGGCTACCAATTTACACTATTATTATTTACTACGACTATGCGTCTATGAATGAATGCCATACGCTAACCGCACGGATTCTCCAATCATACGCCAATCAAAGCAAAATGCCGCCACCGCCGCCGCCCGCGCCGAACGCTATTGGCGGCTGTCACTTCAGTCGTCACACGTCCGTGTAGCGCTTCGTACGTGTGTGCAACGCTACCTCGCTATTGAAAACGCATTCACGTGTCACTATGTATACAAACCGCGAGTACTTTGAAATGGTCAAGTGCTATTTTATAAGTGATGAAAGCCTAAACGGAGCCCAGAGACTATACGAGTCAGAGAGCTTTCCTCGCCTTCGCAATTATGGAATAGCAAGTCCTACAGTCCCCAACCGCCAAACGTTTCTGCATGTCATACAGAGGCTTTTAGACCATGGCCAGTTTACGACGCCTTCACACGCCCAAGGACGTGGTAGGCCGCGACTGTCCGTGGAAATCGAAGACGAAATCTTCGATTTTTTCGAGAGAGATCCAAGACGAAGTACACGTGATGCAGCTCGACGGTTCAACGTTAGCCAATACGCTGTGTGGAAGCTGCTCAACACCTCTGGATTGCACCCTTATCACTTTCAAAAAGTGCAAACGCTAAATGAAGCAGACGCGCTGCTTCGTCGAGTTTTCTGCGAGTGGCTGATCGCACACCCCGATGCGGTCATTTTATGGACTGATGAAGCCCTATTCACACGTGTGGGGCTGTACAACCAACATAATGAACATTGGTGGTCGTATCGCAACCCGCACATGATAAAAGACAATTATCACCAAGTGCGTTTTAGTGCAAATGTGTGGGCCGGGATTGTCGGTGATAAAATTCTAGGGCCGTATTTTATTGAGGGGCGGCTGACCGGAGGCACCTATCTCAATATGCTACAAAGCATAGTCTCTGATTTGATGGACGACGTACCGCTAGCCCTCATTAACCATCCTGCTTTTTATTATCAGCATGACGGTGCACCGCCACATTACGCTATCGACGACGTGAGGAATTATTTAAATATGGAATACGGGAATCGCTGGATTGGCCGCGGGGATCCCGTTCCATGGCCACCAGACCTCACACCCTGTGACTTTTTTTTGTGGGACGAAATTAAACGCCGCGTGTGTGTGGAGGAGGCCCAAAGCCCCAACGAATTGAAACTAAAAATTGAAAGTGCATTTGCACAAGTGAAAAGTGACACTACAGTGCTAAACAAAATACAAGACAATATTCAAAAACGTGCAAGAATCTGCTTGGAGAGGAACGGTTTACATTTTGAGCAATTATTAAAATACTGTTAAAGTTGTTACGCTAAGGTAATTTTTATTTGATTTTAATTAAATGTACATAAGTTGATTCAAATTTTTTAAATTCGCCTTATTGCAAAAGGCATGGCCTGCTTTTATTTTTATACTTCTGTGTACGATACGAGTGCGGACTACATTTGTCGTAAAGCGATGTTTTGTTTAAATTTATTGATATTATTATAAAATGTTTCTAGTTCACTAATAAAAAACACCACGTGCGTAGATAACAAAAGGGCGATGGGAAGATTCTTTTTTTTATTACTTGCTAAATACTAATTCGTTACTATTCATCGTAGGAAGCGAACCTTTTATTTGTTTGTCTCACAAACAAAAGTAAAGATTATTTTCTTTTGTTCTCTACACATGGTAAAATTTTTAGTGACTTTGAAATTCAATAAGTACCTAAATTCTTCGATGGCCTTCGGTAACACAACGCTTTAAATGCGTAGAAGTTAAGTTCGGGAAACGAACTTTCCTAATTAGGTGTGTTTATCAGGTGCATTATTTTTATCATTATTTTGTAATAATATCATTAATATTGTCAAACCTCTAAAACAATTTACTTATAAATAACTTCCGCTCTCGTTTTCGTGCGTTAATGTAACAAAATCTTGACTTGAATTCGAATTAATTGTCTACATTCTAAAATAACATCACAAAAACCTTTTGTAACTTGACGGTCCTAAGCCCGTGAAAGTATGAAGGGAAAATTTGCAACTTACGTATTTTATCAATGACGCGGGGGGTGGCCTAGCGCGCATATAGAGTAGGCTGTCCACACGCGCGCAATTTTTTAAAACAATTTTGCGATGGCATATCTTAATTTTAGTATTGATTTACACTAAAAGGAAAATTTGCGCATGTTATATTTTCACTAAAGATCATAATATGAAAGTTTGGACGATCACTAAAAATTCATCCTGTATATAGAAAAGGGTGATTAGAAGGGTTAGATTGTACAGGATTTTGAAACCACATTCAGTGGTAAATAATAAATTAGTTAAGTCGTTGGATAGTGCAGTTATAGTAGTTAGTAGTAGTGGTCTTATTAATATACAATCACCCATTCTTCGAAATTGTTAACACAACTTTATGCTGGGCTGGAGTTTAAAATTTCTGAAGATAATCATGCATTTTGTCTTCTTTTATATTCATTTTAAGGTCAGCCCTCAAATAATCTAGTTATTATTTTAAATATTTGTATAACTTCTCAAATCCAAAGGGTGTTTGGAAGAAATTGCTTTTAGCAATAATACCGCCTATTGATAGATAGATAGATAGATAAAACGTTTATTTGGATCTACAGACACACATACATACATAAATCCTAGTTTCTACTAGATTTTTGAGATCCCTGTAGTACTGCATATCTGTGTTTGAAACTTTTCTCTTTATACGGGCTTCGTTACGTAACTGCATCATAAATTTAAGCGTGTCAGTGATCCAAGCCAGGGAATTGGGACCTTTCATATGCCGAGTTTTATAGGGAGCATGCCTATCAAATAGTTCCATCAGCAGTGTATTAAATTTGGTAATCATAGCATCAACAGTCGGTTCATTACCTACAGATTCCCAGTCTATGGAGTTTAGATCGCTATTAAAACTGTCTAAATTTATATTCTGCAAGGATCTGTAGGTGATAGCTCTGGAATGTATCTTAGTCTTTTTTAGCCTCAATGTAACATTTATCATTGTGTGCCCGAATGATCCTGTGATGTTACTGACCAAGACTTCACGAACCGTACAATTGGTGCACACAACGTCTGTTAGCGTCTCCGAGGTTGCAGTGAAGTGAGTCGGTTCAGATACAACCAGTCTCAAATCCACACAACGCAGAAATTGATCCAACTTAGTAGTCTCGCCGTCTCTTTGTTGTAGCAAATTAACATTAAAATCGCCCATAAGAACTAAATAACCATAGTGTGAAAACTTAGAGACTGAATCGGTGCTGGCGACTATGAATGTGTCCACATTCATCCGCGGTGGCCTGGACGCAGTACCTATCACTAAGGAGTACCATTACTTTTAGTGGTCAGCAACATTTGCTCT